TCTTGTAGTAAAGAGATTTAAACTTAGTGCAGTTGATTGATAAGATTGAAACCAATAAAGTTAACTTGCATAGAAAGAAAACTATAGGAAAATAAAAATGCAAAAAATGAAAAAAAACACACCAAAATTTTTTATAATGGTTTGGTCAACCTTAACCTATATCAACTCCCCGGAGTCCTTCACTCTGATTATTGCAGCAACACTAAGTGACTCTCCTTTTGCTCCCACAATAAGGCGGAGAAGCCCTTATCGACTCAATTTCACCAAACCTGATGCGATAGACTGGAAGCTACGTTACCTTTCTAGTGATGGTAGTAGACCTTGAATCATTTTTCTCCTTCATGGAGAATATACAGATAACCCAAAGCTTTTCCTACCTCCTTGAGAAGGTAGCATACCTCAAAAATTTTTTTCCCTCCTAGAGAAGGTAGAGTACCTTGAGGACTTGACTTCAAAGCCTCTCTCCCAAGAGAGCGTTCAAGGACGCACCAAGGTCACAATAGGAGCAGGGGTGAAGCTAGCCCAAAGCAACCGTGTGATTCCCCCACACTCCTCCCTCATGTTCAACCTCACATTCTCCTTCCTCAAAACCTTGGTTTTCTCTCAAAAGCATCACTCTCAGAGTTCCTTCTTAAGCTCAAGACTCCTCTCTCTCTCTCTTCTTTTTTTTTTTAAACGAAGTTATAAAAGTTACTTAAGTAATGAGCTTCAAAAACCCTAAAATTCAATTGAGTCATCTTCTATTCATATAGTACAATATAAGGTCATATAGTACAATCAATTTAAAAACTAGTCTTATCTAGTATGTTGTGAACAATCATTTCATATGAGCTATTCATCTTTTTGAACATATCATACATTACGATCCTAAGATCATCCAATATGATCTATTTACTTTCTCTCTATTAGTACAGGACGATTATTGGGATGATTAGAAATAGCCTTTGTCAATCATCCCATATTGATCTCATTGTACGGTATGATTTAGTTCATTTTTAGTGATTCGTCCAATACGATGTAAATATGCTACAATATGATTCATTCAAAATGCATGGTTTCTTTTGGTACGATCTTTAGGACAACCAAACTTCATCTCTATCTATTGTATGGTATGATCCCCATCGTATTGTATGATCGGCTATCATTAATTAAATCATGATTTGATTAATTAATCATGGGGATTAATTTAAGTAAGATTTTAAATTTTTATACATTATGATTAGTTCAAAAATCAAAATTTGACTATCTTACTTAATTTATTCTGCTACTATGATTTTCACATCGTAAAGAATTATACATTACGATAATAATCGTACAATATAATTAGTTCACAGGAATTAATTGTTCAATTTGCAGTCAAATCCATTCTCTGTATAACTGATTGTATAATATGATTGTAGTACTGTATGATTAGCACAAATAATTTTAACCTCAAAATTTTCTCATTCCCCCATCTATATGCACGGTTACTCAATTACATACACTCTTATGTGGCCAGACACAAGAAATAAAAAAATAAAAAAATTAAAAGTACATAAACTCTTACTTGACGTCCTATTTTTCCTAATATTGAGTTTCCAGTAGCCATGGGCACCGTCTATTTTACCTGCAATGTTAGTGCTCACAGATAGAAAGAATATCCAAAACATCTATTGAAAAAATAACAAATTAATCAATAATATTTGTTATCATCAAAATCAGAGACTAGGGATCCTTGATTTCAACACTAAATAAGTTATTGTTATAAAGGCTTCTTCGCCTCAAAGGTGCAATATTTTTCCTTGCAAGTTGAGCAAAAAATTTTGTGTAGAGTACTTTTCGACCCTAGGTCAAGTACTTTTTGAACCATTATGATTTTGTAGCCCTATTTCAAAAAATCTTAATTTTCAATTATAAATCAACCACTATCTCTAGTTGTGAAACTTTTTATGGAGTTTTTCTCTACTAGAAACTATGATGAAATTAAGTAGCTTGCTTGCCGTAAAATTTTCCTTCAACATTTGATGGATGGTTTACTCAAAATTTTCACATTTTCAAATCTAAGAACTCAAAATTCAATTTAAGCTGTGATTTTTATTATTATATGTTTTTATATTTGTTTGATGTGTTTTGATTGAGAATATATGTGGCAGGCTGTCCATGTGTAGGAAGGGAGGTTGTCCCTAAATAGGTGATTGCTATAAATGTTTCTCCTCTTGAAAGGTACAATATTTTTCTTTAGTGCAAGTTGAGCCATTTACTTATTTAGTGATTTGATTATTATTTGCTTTTCACATCATGTGATGTAGTGATGATATCTATTATTTACATTTTTAGAGGTAAAACAATCTAAAATTTTTTAAATTAGCCCAATTCACTCTCACCTCTTCGGCAAGTGTCAACTAATAATACATATACATATATTACCACCACCATGATACATTAAGTGCTTGAAAGGTGACAGAGACGTCGCTACTATCACTACCACTATCAATAATTTGGATCTCAAACATTGCAAATCATATGCACAGGAGTCATGTGCGTGCTTACTGTTATGCTAAAAAAAACTATTATGAAAGTATTAAATACCTATTCTTATGTTTAATATTTCTATTTTTTTTAAATAACTGTTTAAATTAAAAAAAAAACAAAATATATTATTATTATTATTTTAGTTTTTTACTAAAATAAAATAAAATTCTAAAATAAGATCCAAGTGTTAAAATTAAATCATTCCGACTTCAATCTAGAAAGTGGTGTTGGAATCTTCCATCTCATGGCTTAGTAGTTGGCGCTTCGGCCCAAATCTTAGAGGTGTAGAATCAATTTCAATTAGAATATGAATGGATATATGAGCATTGTGCTTTGGCCTAATATTCTAAAAACAATAATATAAGTGGTGTCTATTGATAATAGAAATTATTGTTAATATTTTGGATCAAATTAGGCCAATATTCTGAAAGAAAAAAGAAAAAACCTCATCTAATCGTGTAGCGCACTTTAGCCTCATGATGGGAAGATTTGACTCCCAACACATGTCGTAATGGGCTATATAATTTTATGATTAAGGCTTCGTTTGAGATGACTTTCTTATTGCTTCTTAAAATACTTTTTAGTTTAAAATTTAATATTTTATACTAGAAAACTGTTTTAAGAAGCAATAAGAAAGTCGTCGATGAAAAGTGAGTGTAAAGTAAAGTAAATGCAGGGGTTTTAAAAGTTTGGTGTTAGTTTGGACAAAAAACAAATCCAAGATAAAGTAAACTGAATGCAATGTATTTCATTTTAGTTATTTTTTAGGTAAATTGTTCTCACCCAGTTTTGAGCTAGAATAGTTTGCACCACTGTAAAGCTTGCTTGACCACTGTTGATGACCATTGTCTCCGTCGCGACCCTACTACTGGCCGTTGTTGCTATAATCCATTGCCGCCAATCGGCCACTCTCGACCACCACACTGCCGCCGCCATCACCCACCACTCACCGCCTGCCCATCGCCACCACCATGGTTGCCCACTATCGACTGCAAATGTCGCCCAATGTACCCCATGGCTGTCACCCATTGCTGTCCACAGCTACAAAGTCCTACATGGGGCCTGGGTTAGGTACCTATTGGGTACCCACACCCATCATGTTGACTTTCAGAATGTCGTACCCACCCATGTTCACTCACTTTACATGCTTTTTGAACGTAGTCCGCCACAGACTGATGGCCTTAAGGTTTGTTGCCCTATGCTATGGTTGCAACCTTTCAAGCCGCACATCAGAATTTACCATGGGCACAACATGGTTCAATGTTGCGCACTGCATAGTGAGGATTGTGGTAATATATGATATATGGTGATTAGCAATATAAATTGATTTTATCCTCCCATGTTTAGTACCCACTCGTACCCACCCACGAAGCCATGAGCGTATCCATACTCATCCATATCAATTGGATATGTGTATGCATGTGGGTAGCTATGTATATGGGTACCCAATGTCGGGCTTTGCACAATTACTACCCACCATCGAGCACTGTTGCCGCTGCCTACAATCTCCATTGCCACTACCTGCTGCTACCAATCACTGGTCACTCACATGCGGTCGCCGCCTGCCCGCCATAGCCACCATCACCGTTGCCCCATAGCTAGCTGCATACAGCTTGATGCCTACACCGCCACTGCTCACTGCTACCACCTGTTAGTTGCCAACCATCACTATGGCCACCACTAACGTTGCCCTCCAATGCTTAAAATCATTCAAGACATAATTTTTTATACTTAATATTGCATTCACTTTACTTCAAATCAAATAAAAAATAAAGACATACATTTTTTTTACACTAATCCAAAATATAACTTTAAAATATTTTTTTCCTATTGAATTATTTTACATTGCATTTCTTTTCAATGGGGTTGTTTTTTCTAGGGGTGTCAATATTTGACACGACTCGGAAACCCGACCCGAACCCTACCTGAAAATTTCGGGTTAGGGTCAACCCGTTTGAGAAACGAGTTTGGTTTGGGTTCAGGTTTTGGCCCGTTTGTAAAATTTGTAGAGTTCGGGTTGACCCGGAAACACAGAAATGACCCAGAATGACTCGCATGGCACAGGATTTCGTGTCGAGTCTGCCGTGACCGCGTTGAGTCTGCCCTGCGCCTGAGTTAGAGTCGAGTCACATCATGACCGTGTCGAGTCTGCATGAGTTTGAATTTTCCTGCATAAATGCGTTTGTTCGCACCACTTCTCATAGTCGTTGAATCATGTCGCTGTCCCTGTAAAGTCCGCTCGCGTTCAATTTCACGTCGCCGTCGAAGTTTCGCGTCCGAAAGACTGAGTCAAGTTGATTTCGCTTTCGAAAAATTGCAGTCAACGTCAGAGATCAAGTTGATTTCGCGGTGCCGTCTCGCTCTTGTGGAAGATTTACAAAGTTTCGGGTCGGGACGGTTAACTCAAATCCAAAGCAGATTGAATTCAGATATGAAAAACTGACCTGTTTTTAAAAATAGATCTGATTCGCATTGGATCAAATAGTGCCGAACCGTTCTGAGTTGATCCAAACCCTACCTACGTTTTTCCCTAGAATAAACTGCCCGGATGGGCACCGAAACTCGGGTGGCTGCTCGTTAGCCACGGAGAGAGAGGAGAATGACAGTAGCAGCAGGGCTAGGGTATGCGCTAATAGCCCTCGGCCCGGCGCTCTCCATCTTCGTCTCCGTCATCGCCAAGAAACCCTTCCTCGTCCTCACGCTTCTCTCCAGGTAATTTCGCCCTTATCGTTTGTATTATTATTTTTGAGAGCTGTTAAATCTTACGTGTAGCTAAACAGTCCCTTGGGAAGATTCTGCTGCTGAATGAAATTTAGCTTTTTGATAATATGAACTTGCATAATTTTAGAAAAAATTCAGACATAATCCGGAGAAATTCTTTAAACTTTTCTTGTGGGGTTTATCTAACAATATACAAAGGCTGATCCAAGCTCGGGGCTGTGATTTCTTGTTGCAGCACACTTTTTTGGCTTGTAAGCTTGATTCTTCTTTCGGGAGCATGGAGGGCGTTTCTTCCTATTAAGTCATCCGCATTGTGGGCTTACGTGATTGTTATAGTCACATCAGTTAGCTTCCAGGAAGGCGTGCGTCTTGTCTTCTGGAAATTGTACAAGTAGGTCGAACAGTTTACAACTTATGCTTTAGTTTCTTTGTGTAGCACAAGCTATTATCTTTTGAGATGAGGATTTCTGTGGAGAGCGCGGGATCCTAAGCGCTTTTGTTGTGATTATGTTGCAAGAATTGATTCTCGTAACCTTGTTAGGAAACTCGAAGAAATGTTGAATGCCTTTGCTGACCGAAAATCTAAGCCTCGTCTCTTCCTGACTGATAAGATGCAGATTGGACTCGGTATGTTGGCATTCTTAAAATCTTAATATGCTGCGTCGGCATTCTTAAAATCTTAATATACTGCGTCGGCATTCTTGCTGCACTAAACCTTCCTTACATAATTAGATCAATTTGTTTTACTTTGTAACGGATGATATCTGCTAAATTTGAATGGTTTTATGTCCGAGACTAAGATGCGTGCTTGTTGAACGGGACGGCTGTTTTTTAATACCTAACTTGCATTGGAAAGAAGGATCATGCCCCTTCTTTTTTTCCTAGTAAAAAATTGGCTGATGTTGTCATCAGTATTCGAAACCAATGCTGTAATGAATATTCATTGTGTGGAATTACTGTTTACTGTTTTTTTATTCAATGAATAACATGGTAGGGGAGTTGTACCAGGTTAAGAAAGATATTATGTTACTGGAATTTAGCTATAAGTTGTTAAACAGTGGTCTAAACATTCAAATAAAATACTTAAGGAGCATGCTATTTAAATGTCTTTCTAAGGTTAATTATCATTTTTTTAGATAAAACCCCACCGAAGAGGCCTATGCGTTAATGATGAGAAAAAAAAAGTCCATAATGACTCCAAAGCTCACTAAAATACAACATTTGAAAGATAAAAACCTAAGAGCCTCAAAATTCACCTAAAAATAAAAACCAAGACAATACAAAAAGAAGATCAGCCTAAGCACAAGCAAACAAAAAAGGAGTTAGGGGAAGTCACCAATAAAAATTAATTATCATTATTAGACCACATTTTCATGTAGTAGGCATAACAAATCTTATTTGCTGAACTATTACTTGAATGAATGGAGTATAATAAGGATGTATAAATGCAACTTTTGACATAATATTTGATTATTGGGCTTGTTAGAGGACAGCCAAATATTGTCTTTTCTATAAGAATGGATGGGATGATTCTTTATCCGTGATGCATGCATGATAGAAAACAGGATGGTGGAAACTTCATAGAGTTTGATACTTTGATTATTCAAAATGAAAAGGGATGAAACCAATCCTTTTATATTCATATAGTGTGGAAGGAAAGAAAGCCAATCGGATAGTCTTTACTTCATTTTCCTAACACATGTTCTCTTGCAAGAGTCCTATTGAAAGAACTTCAAGTAGATATGCTATTATCTGCAAAGAATTTTTTTTCTTTTGTGTATGGGAATCATGTTGACTGATTTAAGGAAGATGTGTGAAAAGAGTGCAGGAGGCGTAGAAAGATACATAATTGAATCATCAAAATAGGTTGTGCCATATCTTCAGAACATAATGGAAATTGAATCTTCAAAGCTTCAATGAGAGGGGAGGTCAAGTATCCGTTTGGCTACCAGAAAATTTCATTTCATTATGTTATAATTACAACTGTCCATGAAATGATCCTTTTATATAAGGATTTTAAACCATAAAAGTTCTAAAGTACTACTGACAAATAAATTAATGACATGAAGAACTAAAGTAAAATGATTAAAGCAATTTAATTTTCTAAAGAACTTAACGTATAAATAAGTTCATTAGTTAATCAACTTTATGATCATTGTGGAAGCCTGATGATAGCAACTTTGGTAGTTGCTAATCTATGGAAATCCTTAAACATTTTCTATGGGCTGCTTTAGCTCTCCCGAGGTGTTAAGAATTGTTCCTTTGAGACTAACATTAGTGATTGGGAAAATGGTGGAACTACTCTTCATAGCAAATTATATAACCACTCAAAGGTAGATGATATCTCCAACAAATTAAAAAAAGGCTTGTGTCTCCTAATGCTAATACTAGAAGGCACAGTGGATGCAAAATAAACAAGCTCCTTACAAGATCATCTATGGAAGTATAACAAGTGCAGGGGTTCCATTGTCATTGCAAATTCCATCTGTAGAAGTAAAACATGTTCTATAGGCTTGAGACTATCTCAACCAAGCTTCATCAAAATTAGGATCAATATAAATGTCAAAAGGTAAATTATGTGCAAACATATTAGGTCATAATTGCTTAATATTGTAATTAAGCTTTATAACTGTTAAAATCCAGCCATTAAAACACAAATAAATCCAACGGCTACAGTGGTCAATCCGTGGGACACATGACTCATGACAGAATACCTTCCATATTCGGGTAGCTGGTTTAGAAAGGATTATAGAAGGATTATATTAGAGTTATTCTGTATTTATTTGTTTCTTTCTTAAGATATCTTGTATAGGTCTATAAATAGGGATGATTTTCTATAATAAAATTAAGCTTTTCCGCTCAAATTCCTAGTTCCAACATGGTATCAGAGTCACGACGAAAATAAAGAGGAAACCATTGACGAAGCCTTACCGGACGGAGCCTGAAGCAAGAGCTGACGAAGTCGAAAGCCTCGATCCTCGTAGAAGCTGAAATCGAAAGCCTTGGCGTCGCCTAAGAGATCCTTGCGAAACGAAGCTTTACCGATGGAACCCGAAGTCTTGATCCATGCATGCATAAGAAGAGAAGACCTTGCGAGGGAAGCTTTACCGACGCCTCGCGGACGGAAGAGGCCAAGACCTTGCGGGACTAGGTCTTGCTGACGACTTGACGATCCTCGAGTGCAAGAGAAAAAGAAGTAGAAAAAGCCTACGCCACTCCCCTCCGGTTGACTTCCCATGCGGATGCGAGTCGACCAGAAGACTCGCATGCAGACGTGCAGACTAGTCTGGAAGATCTGACTGCAAGAGCTAAGTGGGCGGAAACTTGCGGGAGAAGCTCCTCACGTGCTACCTGATCCAGGGTTGTGTCGTTTCGGTTTGCCCTACAAGTAAACCGAGAGGAAAAAAATCATCCTTTATTGCCAAAACTAAAGATTGGAGGATTATTTTGAAGCCTTCATTTCTACCCAAAATTGACATCTTAATGTCAGAAATTAACAAGGTTTGAAAACCGGACCGGACAACGAACGTGAAGAAGGAGAGGTTCACGGTTGACCGGTCGAACCGGATGACGTAATAAATAATAATATTATTAAAATTTATAAAATGAATTATAAATTTTGCTCTAATAACATATTTTATTTTTCTCCAGGCTTTCAGTTAAGAGGTGAGAATTAATGTGATGTTCACTTTCTCAAGAGCAAAATCAAGTGCAAGCCAAGTAAAAGAGATAATAACACCTGTTAATTTGAAAGATTAACGTTGATATTTGCTTGTAAAAACATCATTAACAATCATCAGGAATTACGAAACCTTCTATAATGCAGTAAACTATAAGGGGAATGATAACGGCATAAAAAGTTACATAAAAAATCAAATAAAACATAGAAAGAAAACTTATATCCAAATAAATTTAACATTAAGCAATAAGCATAAAGTATTGGATTATCAGAGATCACTGGATAATAATAAATACTAATAAAAATCAAGAACCCTAGCTTTCTCTAGTCGTAGGGATCCAAAACAAACAACAATGGAAAGAAATAGCTCACGGTAAATCGTGCGTCGGCTGGGAGGTCGGAGGAGTTCACCGACGGCTGGGATGTCGGAGGAGTGCGCCGACGGCTGGGCTGGTTGGAGATGGTTGGAGGAGTGCACTGACGACTGAGCTGGTTGGAGATGATCGGAGGAGTGCTTCGGCTTATGCTTGTGGATGGAGGAGTCGATCTCATCTTGCTTGGAGTCGTCGAGTGAATAGGGAAGGAAAAGCCGCAGGCTTAGGGCAGACTACCGATAAATTACCTTAAAAATTCCCTACGCGCGCTCGATCGTGGATGGAGGGCCGAGATTTGCGAAATTAAGAATCGGCCGGTTCTTCAAAAACCGCCCGGTTCGACGGTTCCCCGGTTCAACCGGGTTTTGGGCCGGTTTTTTAACGGTTTTAAATCCAGCCGGTTTTATAATCAAACCGAACAGCCCGCCAGACCAGTTCGCGGTTGAATCGGTCAAACCGGCCGGTCCGGTCCGGTTTTGAGAACCATGGAAGTTAACTCTTCCCAAAGCATTGATCAATTTGAGGATGCCACGGTGCACTAAGGATGAGGTGACCTCTAATGCATGCAAACTTCATATTGCCTAAATTAGAAGAACTAGCTAAAATGGTCTCAATTTGTGAAGACCTATCTGATGGGGAAAGGAAAAATACACCCTCCTCGGAGGAGGACCAAAAGAAGGAGATACTAATTTTTGGGCATGGATGAAGCAGACTCCATGATTATGTCATGGTTGTGGAATTGCATAACTCCAGAAATTAGTGATACATTCATGTTCCTTTTCATTGCATAGGACATATGGGATGCTGCACAGGCTTCTCCAAAGCTCGTGATGCGGCTCAAATCTTTGAAATTAAAGTCAAAGTTTGAAGCACAAAGCAAGGGAGTAAGATTGTGACGGAGTATGCCCCTTCTACAAAATCTATGCAAGAACTTGATTACTACAGATATATAGAAACTAGATGCCCGGAAGATGCTGCGATCCTAAAATACTTTTGTGAAAAAGATAGAGGTTATGATTTTCTTGCAGTACTAAATGCTGAACATGTTAGAGTCCAAATCCTTGGCAAAGAAGAGACACCATCACTTAATGAAAGCATTTTTCTCATCCGCACGGAAGAAAGTCGACTAGGAGTGATGTTAAAACCAAAGGTCGTTGAAAGTTCAGCAATGGTGATGAACAGAGAATCATCATGGAAGAAGAAAGGTAAGGATTCCTCAAAATTCAAGGACAAAGACTCACTTTGGTGAATTTATTACAAGAAATTAAGACACACAAAAGAAACGTGCTGGAAAACACATGGAACACCCCCCCCCCCCCCCCGCCCCCCCCCCCCCCCCCCCCAAGTAAGGAGTGGAATCAAAGAACTGAAACAAGTCAGCCTAACCCAGAAGCACAATCCAACATTCAAGAATTCAATAAAGAAGATATTGATAACTAAAACGAATCATGGTATCTCTTGAAAAACTAAATGCATATTCTTCACTTGCACTCTCAGGATCAAAGATCGGGGAAGACGACTGGACATGCTAAGGAGAGAGCAGGACTATACCACCTGGAAGAAATGTACTAAGT